GTGTGAGAGTGTGTGTGTGTGTGTGTGTGTGAGAGTGTGTGTGTGTGTATTGTGCTAAGTAACCAGAAACACCCTTGTTGTCTAATCTGGAGGCCCACTCAGATCATCTCATGTGCACAGAAATAGGGAGGCTTTTGATTGGAGTGCTCTTTAAAACTCACATTTCCTTCCTGGATAAAAGCAAGGGAGGAGCCCAGCCCAAGTCTGTCTATAAGAGCAGATCATCGCTGGGATTGATTCTAATTATGTCCCAAAGTCCTCATCCTCAGGATAGGGTTTCACAGCTTGTCACAGTGACTGGCATGAGTGCTAATGAGTATTACTTTTTAAACCTGAGTTTTCAGAAGTTTCATTTCAGCCTAAACTTGTGGTCTTGGGCAGAAACCATGAGTTTCTCTGTGATTGTCATGTGCTTTATGGGCGCTGGTTGCTCAATCCTTCTTTATATCAACATTGGTCTGATCTGGACAGGGGCAGCTTGCTAAGTGACCTTGGGAAAGAGAACACATCTTGGGTTCCTGCCTCCTTCCCTGGTTTTTCCTCACTCTTTACCCTTCCGCTACTTATCTTGGGCCAATGAAATAATTAACAATGCAATTCTGTACAAATCAATGCATTTTGTTTCATAATAAAGCTTCCAGTTAGAACATCTTCCTGGTGTAATAAGTAAGTGAAGGGGCTGCCAATCACTATGCAGTGGAGGTCAAAAGCCCAAGTTCTGGTCCTGACTTTCAGATTGAGTTGATTTGTAAAGTTTGGTACCCTGTTACTCAGGACCGGGGCTAAGTTTCCTCTTGGTAAGAAGAAAAGCATTGGATTGGCTTTCTACACTAGTCTACTTAGGCTGCCATAGCAATGTATCATAGAATGGGTGGGCTACATGACAGAAATTTATTTTTCTCATGTTTCTTGAGGCTGGAAGTCCAAGATCAAGGTGACAGCAGGGTTGATTTTCTTTCAGACCTTCTTCCTTGGCTTCCCCCTTTCTTGCCTCTGCACATGGTAGGCCATCTAAGGACACAGGTTCTTTGTGTTTCTCATTCCTCTTATGAGGATACCAATTTTATTGGATTGGGGTTTACCATATCTTATAACCTCTTTTAAATGTCCTGATTTCCATAAAAATCACATTATGAGAAATTATGGGTTAAGGTTTTGACATATTAATTCTAGTGAATGCACAATTCAACTCATAAGAAGATATGTAGGTGATTTGACTGAAGAGATTTTGTCTTATTTTGTCCTACTTTGGGTTGCCCCAAAAGCAGGCTTGATGTAAGGACTTGAGTGCAAGTTGTTTATTTTGGGAGATGCAGAGAAAAGTAGTGGGAATAAAAATGAGAGGTAGAGAAGGGAAAGCAGACAGTTATGGTTAATTATGCATTCAGTTATGAGTATGGCCAGCAGAGCTTAACACTAGGGAAAAAAATCTGTTTCAAAGTTTTTCCACCAAAGAGGTGAGGGAAGTGAGATATTTATACACTGACTCTAGTTAGTCACTGACTGAGAACTACTCCAGGAAATGGGAGGATTGTGAATCCCTTGGAATTCTGATCAGCAATGCAGAAAATGGCTTTGCTCTACTTCAGGAAATCTCTAAGGGGAGAAGAAGCTTCTGGCAATTGGAAGTCATCTAAAAGTGAGGCAGGCTAACATAGGAAAAGTTTGGGACTCTTAGAACATATATGACTTAATGTTTCATTTCAGGTTGGATATTCTTCTCTATCTCTGAGACTTCTTTTCAATTGCAAATGTTTGTAAGTTATTCCCACCCTGGCCTAGGGACAACTGAAACTACCCCCACCTCAGCCCAAGGACCACTAATGCTCCTCCCAACTCACTGATTGTTGGTGGTTGGAAATCACCAAGTTCTTCCCTTCCCATAGGTTTTAAAAGCACCTGGAAAGAGGAAGAAGCTCCCTATGCTTCCACTTCATACCTGACCCTTCATGGCATTTTGTAACTTTTTTCCTTCACCTTTAATAAACTTTATTATCATCCTCCCTACATCTCCATATCCTCCTTGGATGTATCCATGTGGGTTATAAAAATATGGATTTTGTGTTTATTACCAATGATAGCAAAATAAGATCATATGGCCCCAGGAGAATGGCAGCCACTGATAGCATCTGCTATACTGTTTTGGTTCCAAACTCTATGAAAGAGATGGTATGAGTGTTTGCACACTAATCAGGCAAGGGACCAGAGATCAAGTTAACAAAGGCCTCTTACTGACTGAATTATTTCAATGCCTGTATTTGTCAGGGATCATACCCAAAAATAAGTCCTAGCTCAAATATAATAGAAATTTATTTCTTGCTCACATGAATTTAAAAACACTGTTGTAGATCACAGAGCAGCTGCTATCTGGTTACAAGACAGGGACTCTGGCTCTTACCGTCTTATAACTTTTCTGTCCCTTAAGGTCTCAGAGCCTTTGCCTCCCTCCAACTGGATGTAGAGAAAGAACCAGTGTTGAGAAAGCACAGCTGCTTCCTCACAGTTGGCCTGGAAACAACCCATCTCATGTTGTTCCTACTCCATTGGCAACAGCTAATCTTAGGACTCCAGTTAAATGCCAAGGGGATTAGACCATGTGATTTCTAACTGGGCACTGTCTTCCTGGCAAGAAGTCACCAGTGGTGGGATGGAAAACAGGCAGTCAGAGTGGTCAAGCTGTGCCTCTGTCACCCAGCCATGCACTCTCCCAGGAACCCCAGGGCTCCCATTCCCAATCACCTTCCCCCTCTGAATAGCTCCACATAGCAGCCAGTGTCCATCCTTCTGGAGATCCTGGAGGGTCTAGGAGAGGTCAGTAGAAATGCTTGGGTGGGCACTTTGATGGGGCAGAGATAGAGGAAATCCCTGAAGAGAGAGGATTTAGGAGATCGCCCTCAAGTTAATCAAGTGTGCACTTACTACACCCACAAAGTTGGTTTGTCAAAAACATTTCAACTGAAGTGTATGGGCTGTATGGTTGCACAGGTTTTGCCTGCTACTCAGATTTTCTTCTTATGTAATGTATCAGCCTTGGCCAGGGCATCTACCACACTGACACACCAGTATGCATTACAACTTTATTCTGAGCACTGATACCATGTGCACAAAACACTGAGCACAGGGTTTAACACACAGTAAGCCCTTGAGAAATATTTGGCAAATGAATGTATGTGTGGAAATGGTAGATAATGCAAATAAATAAAAATGCAATTTTAAGGTCAGGACATGACTGTTGTAATACTAATTACATATAAACCTTCTAGAATTTTTCCTGTTCCAATGAAGATATAAATACTTATATTATTAAGTTGGATCATATTATGTATAACTACTTAAAATCTTTATTTTTAAGCTATATTTCATACAATTATACCTTTTTAAGTGTACAATTCTTTGGTTTTAGTATATTAAAAAGATGTATAGACATGTTTTTTATATCCTAAAAACAACATGACTATCTAATTCCAGAGCATTTTTATCACTCCATAAAAAATTTCATTACTCATTTCCCCATATTCTCCTTTCCCTTGACCTTAGTGACGACTAATCTATTTTTGTCTCTATGGCATTGCCTATTCTGGAAATTTTATATAAATATAATCACACAACCTGTGGCCTTTTTGCTTGGCTTCTCTCATTTATCATGTTTTCAAGTATCATCTACAGATGGAATATTGTTCTTATGGTTCATAGTACTCCATAGTGTGGATACACAACCTTTTATTTATTCCTTCATTAGTTGATAGACATTATGTTTCCACTTTTGCTGTTATGAATAATATTGCTATTTTTGGACAAGTGTTTGTATGGCCCATGTTTGCATTTCACCTGGGAATATTCCTAGGCCCAGGATTGCTGGGCTATCTGGGAACTCTATGTTTAACTTTTAGAGAAACTGTCAAACTGTCTCCAAAAGCAGCCATAACAGTTTTATAACATGTATTTTCCCTGTTCACAATAGATGGTGTCTGTATTGTCAGTCAGTACATCGAGATGCCCATCACTGCATTGAGTGACTATGCAATACTTGCTTAGGCAGTTGTCCCAGAGTGTATTTAAATAATTCCCTACTGTAAGACATTTAATGATCCTATGAAGGAAAATCTTAGCATCTTCCTTGTGTCCCCAACAGTTTGCAAATCACAGTTTCCCAGGTGCATCCAGTGCACCGTATCTCCCTAATTTGGTGCTTTCACAAGCATTGCAACCCCCTCCTTTCTGTCTTGTTTCTTGCATGGAGACCTCCTTGTGAAGAAGGCCACATGTTGAATTCATCTTTGTATTCATAGCACCTAGCAAGGGCCAGACATTTTGGTAAGCATTTAAAAATGAATGAAAAAATAAATGGATGCCTGGATGGATAGATGGATGGATGGATAAATGATTACAGTCAGGAGAGATGGAGTTCATTTGTTGTCAGAGTATTCTGTCTCCAATTCTTGCTCTGAAAGGTAGCCAGTCCCTGACAGAAGGCTAGGCCACTTGGCATGAATACCACAATGCTAATTTTGGTACTAGGAAGGAGAAAAGGATGAAATTTAAGATTGCTTTCAAATGAGAGAGCCAGAAACTCTACCAAATACCAACCCAGGAAAGCTAAGACATTTGCCTAATCACGCAGCTGAGCAATTTGGAGATGTGAGTTGCTCTAAAATTTTCCAGCAAGTAGTAATGACCCCGGACCAGTGTTTTGCCCCATCTAAAGATGTCTGCTTATTCTGCCTTCCTTTGGTAAGCTCACACTGCACAGATGTTAGCGACTTACAGGGAGAAACCTGTAAGAAGGTGTTGGACCAGTTTGTGGCCATCTGCAATCCAAGAGTAGAGTCCAGGCTATTCAGATAAAAGAAGACAACTGTTCACATAAAACAGGGTAAACTCTGGATGGGCATGGCTTGGCTATCGCATGAGAAAGCTACTGGAAGAGAGGGAGGTTTTCTTTCATTTTAAATTATGCAATAGGCTGGGTGGGTGTGATTCATGGGCAGGTCTCAGGCACTAGGGCGGGACCAGTGCATGTCCTCTTTTGCAACCAGACTAGAGACCTCACTGGTCCCAAGCTTCTGTCTTTCTACGATGTGGTTCTGTGCTCTCATCCTGGTGTCTCTCACTGCTTGCACAGCTTGGGGTGAGTCCTTCTGAAATACAAATATCAGGGGGCACATTTTGAAATACTTGTCCTGGGTGGAGGTGGGTGGAGTTGTGTACAGGGCAAAGCCATGACAGGTCCAGATCTGTTGTGGTGCTAACTCTCTAAACTTGGATTTAAAGTAGCCCAGCCAAGACAGCTCCGGGAGTAGACATGACAAGACTGGGGGGAGAATAACCATCCTAGACCCAGCAGCATATAACAGCCAGGGGAGGGCAACGAGCTAACTACAAAGCTCACACGTGAACAATTAAGAGCGCTTTTCTCCTTGATTATTAGTACAGATCTTACCAGATCATAGAAACCAGCCTCTCAGAATATTAACAACAACTCAGGAGCCACAGTGTGGTTCTAAATCCCAGCTCAGCACTTCCAAGCTGTATATCCTCAGACAAAATACTTCACGTTGCTATGCCTTGGTTAACTCATCTCTAAAATAGGAATTGCAATCAAACCTACTTCACTGAGCTATAACGAGGATGAAATGGATTGTTTCTAAAGTGCTGGTTTACAGGAGGTGTGAGAAATGGGTGGGTAAATAAATTGGGTTGATTTAAAATGCAAGTTATTAATAGAAAATTTGAGTTATGATCAGGCTAGCAAAATATGGAGTGGTTGGCTGCTGAAAAGATAATTTGTTATTCATGGTTCTGAGTGAATCAACACTGGGGTGTGGTATAGAAGCACCAGGATCAGTCAGGAAGCTCAGCAGCAGGCGGGGAGGGGGGGAGGCCCTGTGAACTAGGGCCTCAATTTGGGGTTTCTTCTGGAGGATGAGGGGAAATAGTAAGCAGGTGTAGGATTGGTTCAAATAATTTCAAAGGGCTTTTACAAGACTGGGTAGTGCTCTGGTGTCTGCACCTAGGTGATTAAGGCAGATGAATATTGGCCCAAAGTATGGATAAAAGATGTGAATTCTGGATTTGTTAGACTACTGAGAGTTACAGTTCACCCAAGACCTCACATGTCAAAGCATCAGATGCAGAAATTAAGCTCTTGTTAAACAGGGCTATAGCATTAGATCTCAATGTGTGTGTGTGTGTGTGTGTGTGTGTATCTGTGCCAGATATAAATATCTGTACCATTAAATTACCTGAGAAATTGAGACTGAGAGGGACATGTACTCTATGAAGGTCACCTGGAAAGTTATTCTCTGGTCTATGAAACCTTAATCCAGAGCCAGTGCTCAGCCATCAGTGCCTTAATAGGTCAGCTTCCTTCTGGATTTTGTTTTCTCTCAGGAGTGTGACACTGTGAGAGGCCTGGAACTGAGTATGAGGCAAAGTAAGAAAGTACACAAAATTGGAGTGGAACATTGCTTTACTCTTGGTTACCCCTGCAATGCCACTCAATTTCCATCTTTAGCAGTCTATACAGGTTGCTACAAATCCTGTCTGCTCATCTGTTAAGTGGGCATCTTAACACTACATAGCAAGGCTTATTGGAGTACTAATTTGAAGGAATTAGAATTCATATCTGGCACAGAGCAAGTGCTCACTATGTGCATGTTGCATGAAATGTAAGTGCTAACTACTGCTGGAAGCATTTTTGTTTATGCCTCCCACTATATATAACCACCCTTTTTAACCTGAGAAATCTGGCTTCTACCCACTTCATCTAGGTAGAATGTTATCCCTGAGCTAATAAAGGGCACACCTCATGATTTCTTGTCACACTTTGCCCTTTTACTCTGATAAAGCAATTAACTCTACTGCCAGCTCTTCCTCCTGTTCTCTCTGGGCTTCCATGGTGCTGTGTCCTTCTCCTGCCACTACTCTGGCGAGTGTTCTCAGTCTCAACTGTTTTTGCCCCTGTGTTTTATTCTCAGCTCTTTCTCTTTTTTCATACTGGTGCCTGCATTGAAGTCATATTGAACCATGATATGCACACGAACATTGAGGTTGTTGCCTGTACTTACGCTCTCACCAACCTCCTTCCATTTTGGGGCACCCTGTACTCTTCTATCTTCTTGCCAGAACATCTTACTGTTTTCCCAACTGCACCTCACTAACAAGGAGCCAGCATCACACAGCTTCTTAACTCTTCTTCTTTCTGGTCAAGGACCAGATCATCCTTCAAGATTCCTCATACCAATCTCCACATTTTTTCTACTAATTATAAAAAGTGGTCTACATCCAGTACCTAAAACTTGAAATTCACAAAGAAAAAAAAAAGGAGCAATGTGCAATGTCATCATCCATGGGCACCCTAATGTATAAATTTACAAGGAAATTCATCTCAGTGATTTGGTAAAAATTAGTAACAAGAACAACTAAAAGAAGCCAGCATGGGATTTGTTCATAAAACATGAGACCCAGTATGGGTTTGTAATCTGGCTTTCTATACAGTTTCCAGTGTTATTAATGATTCTTTTCTACACAAACCTGTTCATAGAATTATTATAGGTTATATTCTGGTAATTTAATAACCTCAAAGTGAAAATATCATTAGTGAAAAATGCTGCTGAGTCAAAACATAATTTGAGCATCATAGGACAATGTCTGTCTGAAGCTCATCTTTGTGTTATTTGTAATCATTTGCAATGACAACAGCAAAAAATGACCTAATTGTCCACACTTACATACAGTATGTGACAGAGATATTGTATGTAAACTTGTTTCCTTAAAGAGTTTCCAATTTTATTGACTAGTCTTCTATTACACCAAATCTGGAATTGTTTTATCTTTTCTTGCCATACACCGTGAAAGAGACATTGACATATTGCCTGCATCCAAAGCGGGAAAATTGGAAGGTTAAGAGGACAGAAATCATGTCTTGTGAAGGATGCTCTGACAAATTGAGGCTACTTAGGCCTGAGAATGGAAGACATCAGATGTTGCCATACCCAAGTGTGAAAATCCATCCACCTCAGGAAGGAGGGTCAGGTTGGCTCATTCTGGTCCACAGCAGGTAGAAACAGGACAGGTAAGGATGCTGCAGATAAATGAGGAACAAGTGTCTGCTACACGAATGCAACCAATGTGACAAACAGGAACCTAACATCCAGTATCTCTTCACTCTTGGTGACCGAGCTCAGAAACAGCAGAAGAACATTCTAAAAACTTATTATATCTATTACCCAATAACTGTTCCTGCTGCTTATTTGTCTACTAAGTAAAACACAATCTCTTAAACTGGTATTTGAGGCCTCCCTGAAATGCACATGTTCATGCAGGATTATCATCTACACCCCAGCTGGTGGGATTCATAGGCCACTTATCCTTCTCATTTCAGACCCTATGTTTTGCTGATTCTGAGCCTCTGAATTTTCTCTCATTCCTGCTTCACCTCCATCGTATCCTGGTTCCATCTTCTCTTATTCAGCCCTCCCCCTGCTCAATTCCCACCTCCTCTGGTGACAGCATTCAGAAGGCCTCAACCCCTTCTCTGACACTTGTAGCACCTTGCTGGTACCTCTCCCAGGTCACAACCTCTTTCTTCTCAGCATGAGGTCAAGTGTGTCTGTGGCTCCTCCCTATGATGTCAACCCTCCTGAAAATATGCTCATCCTCTCTTCCTGAATGCCGTTCCGCACCAGGAGCTTCATGGGTAAATGTTCCAGAGGTTTCTAGGAAGGATACCATGTGTCTTGCTCATTTTCAGCACCTCACCTTTTTTGCAGTGACACTTGGATGGATGTTGCTCTATCTCCAATTCAATTTAGTCCTTCCAACAGACCTGTGAATTAAGAAGAATGGTTCTTCTTAGCTTTATTTACAGGAGAAAAACTGAAGCCTAGAAGGTTGAGGTGACTTACTCAAGGTCACATGCCTAGAAATTGGAAAATCCACCTGGAAGCCAGATGTAACCTTTCCTCTGTGATGTAACCTCATTTCTTCTCCATGTCCAGCAGGTCACCCATTCTCACCACCTGTGGTGGACACTGCACATGGCAGAGTCCTAGGGAAGTATGTGAGCTTACAAGGATTTGCACAGCCTGTGGCTGTTTTCCTGGGAGTCCCTTTTGCCAAGCCCCCTCTTGGATCCCTGAGGTTTTCTCCACCACAACCTGCAGAACCATGGAGTTATGTGAAGAACACCACCTCTTATCCTCCTATGTAAGTCCGTGCAGTTCAACTTGACCTCTTTCAGATGGGGTGTTCCTCTCAGAATAATGCAGGAAGGAGTTAAGGCAACCCTCTGATTGGATATATTTTGTTTTAGAATTCCAAAGAGTATTTTAGAACTTTGAAACCTTCCAGAACTGACATAGATTTGTAGAGCCCTTTATTCAGCAGAGTTATGTGGGCACCTGTTGTGGATCCAGCATGTTCTAGGTTCTGAGAATCCAATAGTGAACCAAACTAAGGTTTTCACCTTCATGCAGCTGCTATTCTAGAGAGGGAGAGAGATAATAAGAAAAGCATATAAACCAATTCATGACTTATATGTCAGAATATATTAAGTGCTTTGGAAATTAGCAGCTGCTCATGTGAAGGAAATAAGAAGTATGATATTATCTGTTCTAATCTGTCTTGAACCTTGGGATAGCTGGAGAGAGAGGTGGGTGAGGATGTGTGTAGGTGAGAAGTATAATAGGGAATTGACTTTACAAGTTCTCCCTCCCAAGTGTGTCTAGCTACCTAGATACAAGCCAGTGTGTCTCAGTCACCTAGGCCCCCTAGGGCCAAAAGTCCAAAAATTTCACAAGGCCTCACCTCTATCTCCAGGTGAGGAAAATTCAGATACTATACAATGCAGGTACCCAGAGAACATTGCTGTTAACGTTTGAGATCATGCTTGCCAGGATTTTCTCTGCTACATACATTCTTCCTTAAAATGGATCATAAATACAGATCTTTTGGATGACTGCTTGGAACATTAATAAGTATAACATCAACATTAATCCATGACATTAAATAGAACATCCCAATGTTTAATAGCTCCATTAAATTAGGTTTGAACTGTCATTTACCCAATCTCTTATTAGAGTTATTAATTCTTTTACGTCCTTGACATTGTAACTAACACTATCATGAACATGTTGTAACTAAGTCATTACACACATTTGTGACTATTTTAGAATGAGTTCCATAACATGACATTTATGAACCAGAAAGTGTTTACCTATGGTTAAATTTCCCTCTAGAAATATTACATCTATGTAATTCCTTCCGTGGACACATGAAAAACTCCATTGAGCAGATTCTTGTCAATGCTTAACAATAATAAGTGTGATTTTGGTCTTCCTTTTGCTGTAAGTACTAGTGATGTTGAAGGTTTTCCCATTTTTGATATTTGAATTAACACTTTTATGAATGCTATATCCCTGGGTCTGGGTGATCTTGGAAAAACTCCCAGGATGGAAACATGATGTCATCTTTTGCTGGATCTGCTTCTGTCACTTGATAGCTATGTCATCAGCTCCTGAGCACCTCAGTTTCCTCTTCTATCTGCTGGGGGCAGTGATGCCTGCCCTCTGGGTCCATCAAGATCTGGAAATGTTCTTTAAAATTTATTTGCAAACAGAAGCATTACATAGCATGGGTCTTCCAGGCTTTGTAAGCATGGAAGTCTCTATGCCTCAGTTTTCTCACCTGTAAAATGGGGATAAAAAGTAGAATCCTTGCTTGGACTGATCTGAGGCTTAAATCAGTACATACAGAGAATGTAAATCACTTCCTGTCACACTGGGAGAACTCAGTAAATATTACCAATTCTAGTCTATGTTGGACTTTTGAGATCTCTTATTAAGACAACTAACAGGGATTACTAGGCTATGTGGATTATAGATCTTAGCAGGCCAGGGCTGCAAGACCCACAGAAAATGAACTCACCTCACTTGCACCTGAAAGATTGGGGTTCAGATGTAAAGGAATTCATCCCAGGTCCTTAGCAAATCAGTAGCTAAGGCAGGAGTAGAATACAATTCTCCTGAGGTTGTTCACAGAGATGCCACCATGACCTTCAGAGGCTGACTATCTGCATTGGGAGACGTCCTGGTTGACAGCAATCTCCCAAGCACTAGACCATGTTCCTGGTAGAGCAGCAAGGTCAACCTCCAGCCCACTGTGCACAGGCAGGGAGGTCAGGGCATGTCCTGAGAGCACTGGGAATGACATTTCCCAGGGCAGGTCAACATTTGAGTACTTCTTCTTCTTGACCTGGGGCATCTGGAAGGTTCTAGGAAGGGAAGAGATGCCAGGTCCTCACTCTGACAGTCTGGGAGAATCCAGACACTTCTCAGTGTTCTCACCAGGACCCCCCAGCCTTTGTAACCCATTGTATGTTTTTAAGTCTGGTGATGGTAGCTCCATATAGAGGACTGAGCCTCCCAGTGGCCTCTGTTGACACTTCCAGCTTCCATTTGGTGGAGCCTTAGGAGTCTTTTCTGCCTTTCCAGGTGCTCCCAAGATACAGTGGCAGGGCAGATGGTCAATGACCTTCTAACCAACAGAAAGGAGAAAATTGCTCTCACATTTTCTGAAGACTGCCTCTACCTAAATATTTACACTCCTGCTGATTTGATGAAGAACAGCAGGCTTCCAGTAAGTCTCCTGGTGAAGGATCTCCTGGTGCAGAATGAAGGGGATAAAGGCAGATGAGGGCAGAGGCACCAAGAGTCATGACTGATTCAAAGGCACAGAGCTTCCTTTCACCACAGGAAGTGCAAGTTTTCCTTACCTCAGTTTCCTCCAGTGAGACTAGGGGCCTGCTGAACATCTAGAACTGAAAATTGTCAGTTTTCAAATTCTTCAGAATAATAGAAGGACAAAAATGATTACTAGTAGTTATAAGATTAAGAATCTGATCCTCAGAGCAGTTAAGACATAATTTCCAATAAAGTTAGTACTGGAAGGAAGCTTAAGAGAAACCCTTTCCTGATAGAGAAGTTAATGCTCAAATGATGGAAGGGAGGGCACGTCAAAGGGTGACAAGACAAGACATTGGGTCTCCATATTTTCAAACCTGAGCTCATTAACAAGGACTAGAAAATGAGTACATGAATTGTCATTATACTCATACCACCTGTGAAAACTTAAAACATTTACTGTCCCATGACAACGTTTGGAAGGTGAGGTATGGACAGTTGCATAAGCATTTACCTTGACCTTTGCCAACAACATGGCATATTATTGTACCTCCTTTCCTTTCCTAATTGTCTTTGGCACTGGGAAGATGACCCAGTGGTTCAAAACCTTTTCCATATAAAAAAGGTTAGAGGTAAGGCAGGCTGAAAGTTTCAGGCCAGAGGGTCAGGGAGGGCTTCTGTAGAAGGATGTGATCCCTGGAGTAGAGGAGACACAGTGTCAGTATCCAGCCAGTCTCATAAGAACATCCTGGCAGGGAAGCCTGGAGTGGGGAGGAGGTTGTGAACTTGGAACTAGTATTTGGACCTACACCCATTCTGTAAGAAACAAGTATGTGTGAACAAAAAATAATTCACTCATTCATTTGTTTCTTTCTCCGGTTGGGTACTCAGTGCCCCCCTATCAATAACATCATAGGGAAAGAACAGCACAGTCCCCTTCAACACTTGGCCTTGGTACACAAAACACGACCTGTTCAGCATGGCACTGACCACCAGCCCTCAAGCTCACTCTTCACTTAAGAACATCCTGGCAGGGAAGCCTGGAGTGGGGAGGAGGTTGTGAACTTGGAACTAGTATTTGGACCTACACCCATTCTGTAAGAAACAAGTATGTGTGAACAAAAAATAATTCACTCACTCTTTCATTTGTTCTTTCTCCGGTTGGGTACTCAGTGCCCCCTATACATACACAGTCATAGGGAAAGGAACAGCACAGTCCGCCCTTCAGCACCTTGGCCTCTGGGCTACACAGAAACACGGTAACCTGTTCAGCATGTCACTGACCACCAGCCCTCAAGCTCACTCTTCACTTGGATATGACCTTCATTCAGGGGAGGAGAAATAAGCACTCTGGGATTTGGCATTCTCCAAATGTGGACATAGGTTGTAGAACTACAGGGTCTAGGTTTAAAATTCTGAGTCTGCCACTGACTGGCTGAGAGACTTGGATAATTTTTGACTTCTCAGCCTCTGCTTCCTGAAATGGGAGAGACCATCCTGTGAGTATTAGTGAAGGCTATCATGCTTTCCTCCAGTGTTGGCTGGGCACAGGACTCAATAGCGATGATGCTAGTGACAGCCACAGGAGGAAACTTCTGCCCTCACTGCTGCTCACTCAGCCCTGGCTGTGAGCCACGGTGGGAAGCTCAGCACATGGACTCTGGGGCCAAATAGCCTGGAACACGTTCCGCCTCTACCACTTACCAGCTGTGGGATCTAGTGTAGGCAATGTGATCCAGTTCCCTATCTGTCACATGAGACAACATTACCACCTACCTCTTAAATGGGTTATTATTTGCTTAGAGCAGTTCTTGTGCATAGTTTGTGCTATGGGGTCTCTTAGTTTGGCAATGGTTTGCAACATTAATCTTTTATGCTTTCTCATTTCTTCCTTGAAATGTGAACTCTTTAAATCCATGAACCATAAATTATGAATTGCTGTACCTACTCTGATCCTCAAATCTAATCATACTTCCTGGCACATGGGCTCTCAGATTAAGTTACTCAAATAACTGAAGACTTCCAGAAGGTGATGGAGTTGAGCTTGTTTTTCAGGGTGGGGAAGAGAGGATTTAGGTATGCAGCAGAGGTAGAGGGGAGGGACATTAGGAAGTGGCACCTAGGGGGCATGGGTGCTTCTTAAGATAAATGCTTACACACTGGGAATTATAATTCACCACTGAAGTGTTCACTGAAATACAAGGGCTATCCATGCTTGTGTTCAGCCAGTTGAATGATCTTGAAATGAAGATGGTGAGTGTTGGGTAGTTCATGACATTCATGAGTTTTGCTCTTCTGATGTTCTCAGCCTGAAGAACCCCGAGATGACATGGCACTTGAGTGTGGGGAGAAAAGCAGGGAATGTTGATGGGATGACATGCTGGGACCATCTGGAAGAGTTGGAGCAGAGAGAGACTGCTGTTTGCAACTGTGCTAGGCACTGGTGGTTTCCCTGAGTCAGTAGCAGAATAAAGAGACCACACTAGCCAATTTCTGAGGAGCTTCCTAATCCAACTTTCTATAACTTTTTTGGTGTGTCCTCCTTGTCAGGTGATGGTGTGGATCCATGGAGGCGGACTGGTGGTGGGTGGGGCATCAACCTATGATGGACTGGCCCTCTCTGCCCAAGAAAATGTGGTGGTGGTGACCATCCAGTACCGCCTAGGCATCTGGGGATTCTTCAGGTAATCTGTTGAACTCTCTTCTCTGTTAGCCCCTGTATCCATCTGGTTTTGGTGAGATAACAAAAGATCCAATGCTGGGCAATTAAAAGGAATCAAACTTACTTAACTCAGTCTTTGGGAGGCTGAAAGTCCGAGACTAGGTAGTTTCATGAGATTGGCATCTGGTGAGAGTCCTTGACTGAAATACAACATGGTGGAGGAACGTAAATGGAATCTGGGCATGCTGAACACATCTCATGGTGAGACGATAAGCCATAGGGGCAGAGAGGGAGGGAATTCATCTTACTTTTTAAATAACAACTTTCTCTTGGGAACTAACCAGGGTGCAATGAGCAATAAGCAGAGTCCTTCTAAGGACAGTCAGTGACCTTATCAAACCCTTCCACTTGACCTTACTTTTCGTTAAGTTTTATCACAACTTAATACTGCCACATAGTGATCAAGGTTCCAGTATATGGACACTTGGAGTCAAACAACATTCTTCTCCTGTCCCTGGCCACCTCCCCACCTCACTGCTGCTCTTTCTCAGCTCTTCTCTGTGCCTTCCCCTCCCCACCCTCATAGCTCTGGGTTTATAGCTCTCCCTCTTCACTATTTCCCCGAGTGACTCCAGCATCATATTCATAGCACCCAGTTTTCCTGTTTGTAGTCTTACTTGTCCTTTGACCAGCACACGACCCCCCACCAATGTGCCATATTGAACTGCACCATTTTGCCTCCATGGATGTCAGCAGTGTGCCTCCCACTTACCCTTGATGCAGGTAACACACCAAACAAGACATTTCTCCTTTTACCACAAGGGCATCCGGTCCTGCTGGCAGATCCATGCTCCTGGTTGCTCAGGACAAAGACCTTGTGGGTAACTAGACTCCTCTTTTCCTCTTTGTGGCTCCATCTTTAAATTATGTTCGGTAACCATGTTCTTCACATCTACTATTCCCATCCACCTGATCAATGCCCTGAGTCTCTGAACTGGATTATAGCTATATCCACTTACTTTTCTAAACTTGCTTTTTTAACACATATTTTTATTAGGATACATTTATAATATGGGGGGATTCATAGTGACAGTTCTGATTAGACTTATATTGTGCATTAGTTACATCACCTCTCACCCTCAGCCCCCTCCTCTCCCCACTTAAAGCAATTGCAAGAGGTTTTCTAATTCTGTTTCAAATAGGTATATGAAGTCATCTACCATATACCGTCACCTTAATCTCCTTAGTTCTCCCTCTCCCCTCCCATTAGTACCCCAGCCTCCACAAACACTATGCCTATTTTAAAGTCCTGGTTTTCATAACTAATATTTGAGTTGACATTCCGAAGTGTATCTCAATGTACGCCCTCTGTGAGTGTGCTCAACTTTGGTCTGTTCCATCCCTTAGAATACTCTCTCATACCTCTTTACTTCCCACCCCCTGTTTTTCAACACCTTTCAATACACATTCTTATATCTCCTACCTTCACATCTTGTGGTTTGTGATATTACTGTTGCTCTATCATTCTCTTTCCTTTCTTTGTTTCCCTGAGTTCCATAGAGTAGTTCCAATGTTACAAACTGTTCTACAAGTGAGTTTGTATATGCTCATGTTTGTTTTTATGTATATGTTTATCTTTGGATCTATCTTCCACATATGAAAGAAAACAGGTGTCTTTGTGTTTCTGATCCTGGCTAACTTCATTTAACATGATGTCTTCCATTTGCACCCATTTATCTGCAAACTCCATGTCATTATTCCTTGTGGCTAATATATATATATATATATATATATATATATATACCATAATTTTCTGATTCATTCATCAGTTGCAGGGCATCTGTTTTTTTTCCAGAGCTTAGCTATTGTGAATAGTGCTGCTATGAACATCAGTTTACAGGTGTCTCTACTGTGTATCCTGTTTTACATTCTTTTGAGTAGATGGGCAGGAGTGGTTTCACTGGATCGCATGGTCATTCTATCTTTAGTTTTTTGAGGAATCTCCATACTGTTTTCCATAATGATTCTACTAATTTGCATTTCCACCAGCAGTGTGTAAGTGTTCCTGTTTTTCCACATCCTCCCCAGCATTTGTTGTTGCTACTACCCTTGATTCTGGCCATTCTAACTGGGGTGAGATGAAATCTAAGTGTTGTTTTGATTTGCATCTCTTTTATAACCAGGGAATCTGAACACTTCTTCGTGTATTTACTGGCCATTTGTACCTCTTCCTTTGAGAATTCCCTGTTTAATTCATGTGCCCATTTCTTCATTGGACTGTTGATTCTTTCTTTGGGGGCTGAGTTTTTTGAATTCCCGGTAGCTTCTGGATATTAGACTTATGTTGGATGAGTAGCTGGCAAAGAGTTTCACCCATGGGCTGTCTCTTGTCTGTTAATTGTTTCTTTTGCTGTGTGAAAGCTCTTTAGTTTAATGCATTCCCATTTGTTCATTGTTTCTCTTAGATGCTGGGTCTTTGGAGTTCTGCTTAGGAAGTCTTTCCCTATACCTATCTGTTCTAGTATATTTCCTTCTGCTTCTTGGAGTTGTTTCAAAGTTTCAGGCCTTATATTAAGGTCTTTGATCCACTTTGAATTGATTTTGGTATGGGTGAAAGACAGGGATCTAGTTTCATTCTTCTGCATGTGGATATCCCACATGCAGTTTTCTCAGAAGCATTTGTTGAAGAAAATGTCTTTTCTCCATTGTGTGTTTTGGGCTCCCTTGTCAAAGATCAGCTGGCTATAGATGTATAGGCTTATGTCTGGATCTTCTATTCTGATCCATTGGTCTTTCTGTCTGCTAAACCTGCTATTTTAATATTGTACTGCTCTACACAGTAGCCAGCATGATCTCTGAGACATAGACTGGGGCATGTGTGCCTCTCCAGAGGATCCATTGTTAAGTACAATGACATAAAAGTCTTCACTCAGGCCCCTCAGCACTTCTCTTCCTGTATCCTCACATTAGCTGCATTCATAGTGTTGTTCCTATGGCCTTTATACCTGCTGTTTCTTTTCAGCTGGATGACTTTCTTATTGGGATGCCCAATGCCCTTGCCTCAAAGTTCTTCCCTGGTCATGAGAACTGAAAAACTACCCCACAGTCCACACTTGCTCTTTCTTCAGCTGATTGGGGTTCTCTCCTAGCTGACACTATAGATCTTTCTGCTTATGGTCAGCAGTGTGAGCTTAGTGCAGTAAAAGATTTTGCCTGTTTTGCTCTCAGATGTGCTCTAACTCTTCTTAGACCAGAGTAGAACACACACTGGATCCTCACTAAACAGTTCTTGGAAGAATGAAAGTAGAGCCCTATACAGAATGAGAGGCAAGGGGGAGACAACTTTTTCAGGATGCAGCATCCACCCTTATTCTGGAAGGCTCACCCAGAGCCCTGCCCACCTGTGATTCTGAGAATCATGCCATGACAACTCTGTCCCAATCTCACCCGTTTTGTCTTACAGCACAGGGGATGAACACAGCAGGGGGAACTGGGGTCACTTGGACCAGGTGGCTGCACTGCGTTGGGTTCAGGACAACATTGCCAATTTTGGAGGAAACCCAAGCTCTGTGACCATCTTTGGAGAGTCAGCAGGAGGTGAAAGTGTCTCTGTTCTTGTAAGTATTCCTGACACCGGGCCCCAGATCCAGGCTTGATGTGGTCAGTGATGCGACCTCTGGGACCACTGCTTATAAGACCTGAATTTAGGTTGACTCTACTCACTGCACAGTCTCAGATGATGGAGATCCAATGCCCAAACTCTCCTTTGCCCCTAGGAAGTTCAGAGCTTTATGTCCTGGGGTAGAAGTGACAGTCCTCTTCTCCTCACTTGTCTGAATTCTCTTTCCCTTCCTTATCATTTTAATATTAGGATTCAATGTACATCCATGGGATTGTGTTGGGTATAGACTATAATAGGGAAGACAGAAGGATATAAGGGAGAATAGGTGTCATTAATTGGATCCAAGGAAGATGTACATGTTGAGGAGATGCCAGCACTGAGAGCAGAATGGGCTTCCTCTGAGGTAGCCAAATGGCTGCCTATGGCCAAAAGGGAGGACAGCAATCTCTGGGACTGAAAGGATGAGGTGGGCTAGAGAGGTTGGTGAGAATTAAGGATAAAAAGTGGAATGGGGTGGGATGGGACAAGTGTTGTGGGCCACAGACACAGCTTGAGTCATCTTGATGGTGTGGAGATGGAATTGGGCAAGGGGTTGGGGGTGGGGACAACACTGAGGGTAACTATGAGGGTTCTGGGGCCATTAGTAACCCTCCAGCTACTTTACAGTTGAGCAAGGGATCATCTCAGTACTGTAGTACTGTATTCTTCAAACACGCATTTGTTGAATTCCCAGAGGTAAACACTCAAAATTTTATTTTGAAGTTGAGAAAAAAAGAAAAATATAGATAAACCCACAGGAAAAATGTCATCCAAAATTCCACTACCCAGATATAGTCACTGTGTATATTTTGATATGTATTCCTCTAGTCTTTAACCACAGTTTTAGCTATCATTTATCTATTTATCATGTATCTATCTTTATCTCTCCATTCACACTCTCTCTGTCTCACTGTAATCTACTTCTGTGGGGTTTTTGTTACAAAGAAAAATGTGTAGTGTGGTATAAATATTTTCCTAAACATGAAACATTCTTGTATAACATTAGCTTTTACAGTTTCACAGTATTGCATGGTAAGAATGAAAAAAATATTTTTCCAATCTCCTGATATTAGAACCTTGGGTTATTTCCAATTTTGATACTATAAATAGCATGATAACTTTAGGTATATTTGTTTAATTTCATGAGCAATTATGTTACTTTTTCGTGTTGCTGAGTGTTGTAGTCTGGGACTTGGGCTTGTCTTGCAAACACTCTACCACTAAGATAGAACTCCAAGTGGTTGTTTTCATAAGATAAATTGTGAGTAATGGAAATGCTGAAATTGAATTTGTAGCTAGGAATTACCAAGCTGTCCTCTTTTTTGGGAGGAGGAGGCTAAATGTTCTGCAATTTATTTATTCATTTTGTATCCATTTAAAATATCCATGGCATTTGAATAGTTTCCATTTTTTGACTGTTACAAAAGTGATGCTATATATCATTATACATGTCTTGTGGTAGATACCAACAGCTTCAAAGTCCTACCAATTTATGAAAATTCTCAGTATATATGAGAATTCTAGTTGTTCCATGTTCTCTATAGTAGTTTTTTTTTTTGTCTTTTTTTTCCTGTGCTGAGGTATGAACGAAGGGCCTTGGCCTTGCTAGGCAGATGATCTACCACTTGAGTCATGTCATAGTTCTTTTTATGGCAAGCTCTCTTCTAATACTTTTGATTACCACAATGGACACTTGCCATATCCTTCTTGTTTTGCCCCTACTTTTGAGCTATGATGTTATCTTCATGACATTTTCTTGAGGAAGAGTGTACCAGGTGGATCTGGGATGCAGACTGGAATGGATGAGAATCTGTCATGTCCACAGATCACCAGAGTCCCATAGAAGAGCAGGTGGAGGGAGTCTTAATGATTGAGAGAGTCACTGACCCCTCCTGTGAGCATCAATTCTCCTCCTCTCCTTTCCCTTGCCAGGTGTTATCTCCTCTGGCCAAGAACCTCTTCCATAGGGCCATTTCTGAGAGTGGTGTAGCCCTGACTCCTGTTCTGTTTGGGAAGAATGTCAGACCCTTGGCTGAGGTAGGTCTCACCCTGGATGGTGTGGTACCCTTCCTCTGCTGTCCTGGAATCTTCAGGGGTCTTTCTTCCTGTGTGATTTATCTGAGATGCTCAAGGAATCCCTGAGGTGAGAATGGCTGAGCAAGAAGTGCATTTTCAGGGCTCACATTTAATTCACATTCCACAATTTTTGAACCTTCTTCTTATGAATCATGTTATTCAGACTTCTTAAAGTTCAGCAGTGGAGTGTGTGGGAGACATAATAGCCTCCCGAGCATGTCACATGTATTAAGTCTCCTTCTACAATAGGTGCAATCATCACCCATGTCTGTGAGTGGGGAAATGGAGGTTAAATGGCTAGGAGTGTAGGCAGTGGTTTTTAAACCAGACAGTGGGATCCCACATTCCTTGCTTTACACTCTTACTCTCTAGGGACTCCCTTTAGACAGTCCACTTTGACAATGTTGTGCTCATTTCCAACGTTACAAGAAATAATCATAAGAAATCATGTAATTAGCTCATATCAAAATTCCAACTGGTAACAGAGGCCCAGAGCCTCCACTCACGAATCTAGCATATTTTTATCTTTCCTCTATTCTCTTCAGTAACTAAGCTTGTAAGAGAACCCCCCCCCACTCCCTATCTACACTGAAGGAGAGAACAGGCTGTGTTCCTGACCTCTGCTATTGCCTGTGTCTGTGCAGCACATCGCAATTACTGCTGGGTGCAAAGCCACCACATCAGCGGTCATGGTTCACTGCCTGCGCCAGAAGACAGATCAGGAGCTCTTGGAGACCACACTGAAGTTGGTAGGTGTGCTCATTCTTATGGCCCAAACCTTGCCTTGTGTAGTTGGCTCCATACTTTATTCATTCAGCTGTCCTCTGGCCCTAAACCAACTACCTGTGGTAGTTTCTCACCTCTCAGGAACAGTGTCAGTCTCCTGGTTCCAGTTTGGAGTTCTGTTTTTCCTTTTTTATTGTCAAATATCTTAAATATAAAAAATTTCAACAACATGATGAAAAATTAAATAATAATCCTTCAGTTCTTTCAAAATGTAATTTTCAGATGTATTTTAAGGAATTAAACAGTCCATATTCCCAGAAGTAACTACTGTTATGAATTTTAAGGATGGGGATATTAAGCACAAAGTTTTAAAGGAAAGCATCACAAGTTACGTTGGTTGATTTGGAAACTAGGCTGTAACAGTAGTTTCTGAACTTTCTAGTTTTGTGACACTGCAGCAGTTGGGATTTCAGGATACTTATGTCTCTATCCATTCATTCATCTATAGTCCATCCATCCTTCCATCCATCCAGGCGTCCATCCATCCATACTAAGTATATGGAGGGGAGGTATCAGGAGAGGTGACAACAGAAATATATTGAAATTTGTCCCTGCTCAAAAAGAACTATCCAAGGAGAAACATAGCCACATACTTGACCAGTTAAACGGGGAGGGAGTACAGAGCAGAGACACATTCATTACAACCAGCAGGGGTCTGCTTCTCAGGGAAAGTGACCTTGAAGGATTATGGACGGTCATGACAGTTTGGCATCACACAGAAACTCAGCAAGACAAATAACAGAGAGAAGAGCACCAGGGCCACTGGAACTACCGTGTTTGAGGAAGAATGTGTTAATTTAAGCTCATGAGTTTCCTGAGCCCTGGCCTCTCTATCTGGGTTTTGGATACTGGCACATACTTCTGGACTCTCAGGACAGGCCCCTTGCACTGTATTCTGCCTGTACATCCACAGGTTGATTCAATGTAACCTTGGGTATTGGGTCTTGACATCCATCCATTCTCTATCTATGTCAGAGAGTTAAGACATAGATGTTTCTCCTCCTCCTTGGTTTTTTGAGGCAGTGTGTCACTACTTAGCCCAGGCAGCCTAAAACTTGTGATTCTCCTAACTCAGCCATCCTTAGTCCTGGGATTACAGGTGTGTGTGTCACCATGCTCAGCTCACAGTTATTTTCTAATACTGGAGAAAAGACAAATATTTCAGCCATTTTCCATGTGTTACACGAACACGCAGCTTTTGTAAGAGTACTTGATGATTTTGAGAAAATTCATAGAACAAGATCTCTGGAGATCCTTCTGAGGTTTTTTGAGATCTTGTGGAAGTGCTCTCATTTACACACACACACACACACACACACACACACACACACACACACACACTCAAAACACAGCTGTGCCTGATGGGGCCACAATATACAAAGGAGGGATCACTAATGATAGCTTCTAGCATTTTCCTTTTAGAAGCACACATTCCTTACCGCTCCATGTGATGTTCTAAAAGAGACCTGGTAACAAGGTTTAGAATGTGAGACAATGTTAAAAAGGAACTCTGGTTAATATATCCTGAGAGTATCTTCCAGCATTTTAATTTGAGAAACACATATATTTACTGCTTATTGTGCACCTACAGAGGTCAGACCTGTTAGCTAAAGTGTAGCATTGCAATCACGGCAATCTTGCAGAACTCACTGCCAAGAAAAGTGCAGGTTGGAAGGAGTTTCAAGAACATATAGAAGTTAGATTTTTCTGATGCAAGATGAGAAAACTCATTTCAAGGTGCCTTGAACATTAAAAAAGAAAATGTTGTAGCAGAATCGTCAGGAAACTGGAACGTTCAGGAGCAGATGGAGAAGGATGTGACTCTGATGGCTTAGAATCCATGTGCTCTGAAAACAATATTGAGAATGTACCTTTGTCTATCCCTCATCTTTCCACTCTTCTTTATTGACTTCCCTCTGAAGCTGATTGATCCTATGGAAGTAAAACAAATAGGTACTTCTATACTTATATCCTATCTGCTTATAAAGCTTATCTCCTAGAAACTTCAGCGGTAGTTTAGGAGGTAAACTCTGTTGGACTGACACCGGGATGTATCTGTCCTTAAAGTAATTCCTATGTTCAAGGACATGGGGACCCCAGGTGTAGGTACCCAAACCCATGAAGTGGGAGTGGAGAAGATGGGGAGGGGAGGTTCTCTCCTGCTGGTGTATCCCACCTGCAGCCCCAGCTCCCCTCAAGTTGCCACATTCCTGACCTTGTTTTCACTATTCTTCCAGAGGAAAATTGAGGTACTATTGCCAAGGATAACAAGTAGAGGGAAAGGATGAAGAGGAGGGCAAGCATAAACAGCAGACATCTCCAGAGCTCCAGTGACTCTGACTCTGGGTCCCAGGGTCAGTCCCCTTGTCAGTGCCTGTCTTTCCCTCATCCCACTTTAACCTGCAGAGCCTGTGTAGTCTCCTCGTACCCCTGGACCCAGCCAAGGAGGAATCAGTTTGGAGAACCTAATATCTCAGGGGTACAACTCAAAGAATCAGCTTTTATACCAGGAGATCTTCTTACTCATATCATTGTGTTTGTCTTCACAGAATCTTTTTAAGTTTAATTTACGTGAAGACTCTGAAAAGGTAAGTACCTTTGCTTTCTAGATTGCAGGTATTGAGTCTTAACACTGTAAAACTCTGATTAACTATGAATAAAAGAGTTCTCTTTTATGGAATCAAAGTCATTCTTTGTGTATATACTGCTGAGGACTAGAGAGGGGAAGTAACTTTCCAGGTAATACAGCCAAGAAAACCACTCCTGACTCCCAGGCAGCAACTTGGTATCCTTTGGAACAAGCTATCCTCTTCCCTCATACATTTTCTGCTCCTAAACGGCTCTGTGGGAGGAGGCTACAATAGAACCTTCCACTCTCATGACCCAGAAATAACTGACTAAGGGGCTCAGGAGCCTTCACTGAGGAGCACAGATCTCCCTGGAGGCCACAGGATTGGTTATCTGTGTGGACTCAGAGTCTAGGGTCCTAGTCCTGAGGACTTCATCCTCCTAAGGGCACCTAGGAAACTTCCATTGTACCCACCCAACACTTGCCAGGGTCTGTTAACATAAGCTGTGCAGCATCTTACAGTCCTGTCCTCTCTCTCCCTCCCAGTGGATCCCAGCACTTCCCTTAAATGGAAGAAATGAAACACTTTCAGCCTTTCAGGAAAGTTTAAAGAAGCACTTACTATGTGGCAAGATGTGAATAAGGAGTTGGCATATGGCAGTGAAATAGATGAGATTCCCTGCACTCCTGTAGATTTCCATTTTTGTGGGGTGTTAGAGTGTATGGGGGGAAAGGGCAGCAGAAAAATAAAATAGTGCATCTTTGGTGTATCTCATCATGATCAGAATTTAGGTAAAAAAGAAGGTGGGAGATTATGACAGAGTTGGCCAATAGTTTGAATATAAACAGGGTCAGGGTGAACCAATCAGCTGGGCTGGAGTCCTTTCACTCTACAGGGATAGGAATCATGGGTAGGTAGGGAGAAGTTTCCCAGTGCTGACAGTCTGAGGACCTTATGTGTTCATCACCTCTTAGCTGGGCTGGCAGACTCTGAAACTAGATCAACAAATGTTGAGAAGACAGGGGCCTATTCCTCCAGGCTTTAGAGGCCCGTGGCTTATGGCTCTAAGAAATCACTTTGAAGGCTTAGTCTCTGATGGCTACACCAGCAGTCCTAGCACTTGACAGCTTCTGCTAGAAGCCAGTAGTGGCAGCAGACAATAGAAAACAGCAGTAGGTGGTGTCTTCTAACCTTACAGTTCTCTTGTAGGCCTTAGGTGTTGGGACCCTCAGCCCTACAGCATGAAGTGTTACAGGAAAGGCTTAGGGTGTTTGGATCCTCATTCCTTGACAGCAGGAAGTGCTATACCTCTTACTCACAAAGTGTCTGAGACCCTTGGTCCTTAAAGCTCGCAGCTTTCTGGAACTCATCCAGTGATCGGGGCCCACAGTTTTTCTTCTCTGGCTATTTACAGTCTTTTATCTTTCTTTGTCCTCAGCTCTCAGGCCTCTCTTACCCTTTTTCTACTTCTCCTGTCCCTGATTATCTCTGCTGCCTCTTTTCCCATCATTTTTGTCCTGACCACTCTTTGAAAGTCTTCAACTGCCTCTTGTGTTGCTACTTTCACATCAGTGGCTTCCACTGATGCTCCCATCTCTGCCTCTGCCACTGCCTTCACTCCACTATTGCTTGGCTGTTCCTTCCACTGCTCTCATTTCCCCTCTTAATGTGACCAGCTCAGCCTGCTTTACTAATGATGAAGATCAAAAGTAGGCAAGAAAAGACTAGCACAGGAAAGTGTCTCCAGGTGGTCTGCTTATGTAGCCAGAAAGGGGATATGGGAAGGGTATCTGCACTGATCAAGGCAGCCCTTCATGCAAATGAAGGACTGTGTTTGCACCAAACACAGCAGTTCCTTATGCAATGAAGGAGTATTGGTACACCAGTCATAAGCCTTCCTTCTGGGCCACTAGAGGGAAGTGCTATCACTCTGGCCTGAATGGAAATAGCTGCAGGGTAATCTAGGGTTCAGTGAGGTATATAAAGGCAAAAGGTCCTGTGTAAGCTGTTTGAACAATCAAATGGGAGACAGTGCCTTCAGGAGTCTAAGTTATGCTTCAGCAGTAAGTAAATGTGGCTGTTGTGTAGCTTCCTCAAGGTGTCTGTGGAGTGTTTGATGCAGCCAGTGCTGGCATGAGGGCAGAGTAACGGGCTACTGGGCTGATAGTCCTTTTCTCAAGACAGTCAGGCACCAAAGATAAGCCTAAAAGCTATCAATTACAGTGAAACCACCCCATCCCCCAAAATCTTGGCTTAATCAAAGGATAAATATACATTAAAAATGATACCAGGAAAGACCAATTGTGATGCCACACAGGCTAAGCTTGTCAGGTTCTTGTCCAGGGATGGTTGAAGAATGACAAGCCTGGACAACAAGTGAGTAGCAAGCAAGATAAAGTTTATTAAGGTACAGAAAGACAGAGGACCTGCCCAGGTATGGTCAGAAAGACTGAGCCATTGTAACTATGACAACTATGGGTTCTTAGGGTAAAGTTTGCAAGTCCCTGGAAACAGCTTCTTGATATTTTGGTCCTAGTTTTGTTTCTTACAAGGTCTTTATTCATTTTTGCCCACATCCTGGTGACACACTTAGGGGGAGTGCTGTCTGGGCCCACATCCTGCTGTCTTTGCTCTCTTTGCCTTCTTCTGATTCCTGGTGACTTTAGCCAGCTGCTTCTTTCTAGCCCCCCGCCTGACTGCCTGTGGTCAAGTTAGCCTATACTAACAACAGAGGTGCTTACAATAAGTCTTACAATTAAGATTAACAGTAACTTTTCAGTATTTACAATGCTTTATCATTGTGGCCCCCAAGGTAGAGAGCCTGCCTGGCAAATGTGAAACCCTGAGTTCGAACCCCAGTACCACTGAAAAAAAACCATTTAACTCCCTCCCCAGTGCTGTAGGGAGACTCAGTCTCTGTAATCTGTCAAAAGATGGCTTGATGAGTAGATGTCATCTGAGTTAAGCTCTGGGAGGAGAAAAGTAAGCTGGCTTGCAGGAAATTTATGTTACTTCTGTTTCTGGCTGTTTGAAATGGAGGCAGTGAGGGATGAACAGGGTTAAGGCTGAGGAGGTAGTAAGGGTGGGAGGGGTGCTGATCACTGAAACGACTTGGATTGTGATTCGACAGGAAATGGAATGTGTTGAGAGGAATTTGAACCAAGAAGTGACGTGATGAATTTACAAATGTCTCACCATGTGGAAACAGACTCCATGGAAGGCGCAGAGAGACCAGCCTGGTGGCCTCTGGGTGGCAATAATACAGGCAAAGGATACTGGTGATTTATGCCAGTCAGACTGAAGCAATGAGGGTGGTGAGATGTGTTTGGAGTGTGGATATTTTTGAAGAAATAGCTGACAGGACTTGAGGATGGACATTATGTGAGAGATGAATAAAAGAGAGGGGAGAAGGATACATTTAACTTGTATCTGACTTCTCTGACTCAAGCAAGCAATGCACGTGGCCCTCATGCTGCATCTTCAGCACCCACTCAGTGGACAGCAGCAGTCACTGTGGATTTTATGGTTGCCTATGTCAGTTTTCCTCTGTGGGTGCTACACCACGTTAGCCCTAAATATCTCTGTCCTAAATTTACTGCTTTTGCTACCACTTTAGCTTCCCCACTCCAGCCTATGGTATATGGTGCAAAACACAAATTAGAACATATCACCCTCTTCTTAAAAGCCTAACCTTGCCTTTAAGACAAATTTCTTTGCTTTTTCTGTAAGCCAGCTTGCTGTTACTGTAGTAAATACCCATAATAATACCTATAATGAGGAAAAGATTGTTTTGGCTCACAGTTTTGCAGGTTTAATTCCATGATAGTTTAGCCTTGTTGCTTTGGTCCAGTAGTGGCACATCATTGCAGGAGCCTGTGTGGGAGCAAAAACACTCCTCTCATTGCCAGACAGGAATGAGAGGGAGAGGCAAGGCCTGGAGGACGTTGTGCTTTAAAAGTGTGTCCCCAATGACCTGGTGGACTTCACTAGACTTTGTTTCTTGTAAGTTCCACAACCTCTGAATCAGCACTGGTTGGAGACCAAGCTTCCAAAACATGGGTTTCAAGACATTTAATGTCCAAACTATAGCACCTCCATTGAATTAGATTTTCAAAACACACCTGATGGCCTATGTTGGACAGATATTGGAAAAAATGTGCTCCAACACAAGATCCTATCTCTTCCCCTGCCCTGGAGTATCTCTCCATGCTCAGGAATCTTTGGTGTTCCTAGGATAAGACCACAGTGACACCTGTCCTTTGGCTCAAACCCTTTCCTACCACTTGGAAATTTCTACCTCTTTCTTCCCCTTCAATACCTTTGTCCCAAGAAAGGGCAAAAGCACTTTCTTCATGTGGCCAGATGAACTGCTTCCTTTGCCAGATGATAGGACAGCCCTCTCTGCCTGCACAGCTTTTCTATCACACCCAGATCTTGTTCTCCATTGTCAGTCTATTGGAGTAACATTGTCTTTGTTTTTTAATCTTCTTAAGTATGGATTATGTCTCAGTTGAGGCACCATGAGTCATGAGTGATGACTTTAATGTCCCTCAAAACTGTGTATCAAAAAGACCTCAAGTTTAACTATTGATAGATACGTGAAGCCATCCTAAAAATATCATTAGTTCTGCATTTGTGAATTAATTTCTTTGCTAAAATATATTTGTAACCCCAAATCAATACTTGTGATATTCTCATGGTCATTTGTACCTTATGTGCAGAGTGTTAAGAAGTATGAGTTCCATGATACACATGTTCCTCTCTGAGGTCAGAGAGGAAATATTCTGTCTTGCTGCTTCATTGCTCATGCTGACAAGTGTTCTCCTTTGGTTCACTGAGTGTCAAATTCTGTCAGTTATTTGCTGTTTGAAGTGATTTCTCTGCTTCAGATGGCTCTCATGCATAGTGAGGAAGAGCTGTCCAAGGTTCCCAAGCACAGGGTGCTGTGACGTGTTTTGTGGAGAAAATTCATGGAATAGATGAACCTTCTTTAGGCTTGAGTTCTGATTTCCCTGGCTGTGACATCAGTGTTGTTGAGCCAACTATATAGTACATCCACAGATGAAGAAAAGGTTTGCTATCTGTAGATAAGGCCATTCTGGAGAGTGGTAATGTGATGCCTATAGTGTGTAAGAAAGCTGTGGAAAAGATGGAAAAGTAACTAAACTTGTGGATTCATGAGATGTTGAATTTTTAAAAGCATGGTGGGAAGCATGGCTTGAGACAGAAGCCAAAGAAGTGTATAGTCTTGTTACCCAGGCCAAGAAAATATTAAGCTCTTCCCAGCTAGTGCTTTATTATAAATAAATTCTACCTGTAACTAATTCTCTGTAAGAAATCTATATTACATAGTACATCTTTAAACAGATCTCACACAGAAAACTAGGACTATGAAAATGTCTAGACCAGAGTCTCACAGAAAACAAACTCTGGACTTTCCCTTTCAGCAATTGCCCAGTATTTGCTAGTTAACATTTACACAACATTACAGATTTAACTGCTAGGAATTGCAAGGGTCATGTCTAGACAATATAATATATTACAGATTAAAACATATATTATATACAATATTAATAAAATGAAGAGCCCATTTCCCTCCTCCCTTACCACCACCACCTTACCACTGATAGGCACCCAAAGTTACTCCTTTAAGGCTCACAACTTAATCCTCTTCTTAGGACCCTGAGTATCTCTGGCCACTGTGCACAGCCACAGGGACCTATGTGATTTCATCACATTTAGAATAACAGAAAGAAAGATGCAGGTATTACCTGGATCAAGAAATCAAACACATTTTGCTACTGTCATACCCAGAGCCATCCCTTCATGCCAACTGTGGTCGATGGAGTGTTGCTGCCAAAGGAACCTGAAAAGATTCTGGCTGAGAAGAATTTCAACACTGTCCCCTATATCGTGGGAATCAACAAACAAGAATTTGGGTGGATTATGCCAATGGTGAGAATGTACAGCCTTCTTAGGCAGATGCATCCTTCATCCTTAGACCCGTGATCTATGAGTTCTTTCTTATCCAAGTCCCCTTCTAAGTTCAGGCACTGCCCCTGAACATTTCCATGGAAATATTCTCCAGGACGGCCCAACTGGCCCCTGCATGGTATAGCCCTTGTAACTCCTCTCCCCAACTTTGTTTTCTTATTAAATAATCCTGAAATGTCCAGAGAGGGAAGACCTGTATAGATGAAAGTTGTGCAGATAGGAAAAAATAGACATACACAAATGGAGCTAGGGTGGGGGACAGGAGAATCATTCTGGGGCACAACAGCTTCCACATTGGATCTGGACTCACAGTTCACCCACACTGTCAGGTGCCTCATTGCACAGATTCAGGAAAAGTTACTTCATTTTGGGTTAAAATTAGGTTTCAAAAGGGAAAGAAGGTGGCCTTTTCTCTTCAAAGATAAACAGAAATGGATACGAGTTAAAGCGGCAGGGTTGGTTATGTTCAGGAAAAGGATAGCAAGAAGGGAAAGATTAAGTGTCATGTGAACTCAAATCCCTAACACCAAGGCTGAAAACATTCCAAAGCTGAAGTGAGATCTAGGAGGCTCTGTAGTGTGAGGAGTAAGTCCATGTGACTGGAGACAGCCAGAGAATCAGACTCCTCTTTCTTCATGACAGGAAACATGAAACTGTAAGTTGAAGTAAGGCCTCATTGAAGTTAGATCTTTATCCTTTCCTAGGGAGGTACTGATAGAGACATCAAGAGTTAGCTCCCCAAATGTTTACATTTTAAAGAGATTAAAAATTGTCTTAAATAATCTCTCAGGTCTTTGAGAAAAAAGTTTTGAATAAATAAAGGATCGATAGGGTAAGCTTTCTAAAGTAACTGCTCTAAAAGAGGGTTCAGGAGCCAGTCTGCCCATCACCAGGCTGGAGAAAATAGTAATTGAAATTTCTCAGGCAGTTACTTTAGGGGGCTGGGATCATCTTAGGACATGGTCTTAAGCCACTGGAGTCATGATGGAGGTCTCTGAGTGCAAATATTTGGACAGGGTCAGTACATACAGAGAGTGCTGCAGCTCTTACGTCAGAGGGAATAAAAGGAATGCAGTCATGTTGATTTTGGCTTCCTTAGTTACTGGAATCTTTGAAGCATGGCCTAAATTCTCTGTTCCTGGGCCCTGACCTAAATGTTCCCCTTGAGCCTGGAGAACATTTTGCCTCATACCCTGATAAGTACATATCTTTAAGCTATCCTCTTTGTACTCCTTAGTTTATGTACTTGAAACCATCTCTTTCAGATTTTTTTCAATTTGATGAAGGACCTATGTCCATCAATACAACAAGTGAAACCTTATTCCATGTTGGTTTGGTTGGTTTTCCTGTGAATTCCTGAATATTTATAAATGTTTAACCATTGTTTAAACAGATGGTGGGATTTCCACCCCCTGAAGAAAAATTTGACCCGAAGTTGGCTATGTTTCTCCTGCAGACGTTTGACTCCATGCTTGTAAGCATCTAGGGAATCATGGGAATTGATTGAAAGACACAAGGGATGAGGGCTTACCCCAATCACTAGCAAATTCAATGACAAAAAAGAGACTCAGGACCAGGTTTCTGCCTTTCCCACTTTACCAATTCAGGAGAGATCTGCACAGGGCTCAATAGGATCACCATCAGTGAAGCTTTCAACAGACCTGGGAAGCCATATTGCTCACAGATGAGGGTGGTGACTTTCTTCATCCTTTTCAGACATTGCCTGAGAATCTGATTCCAGTGGTCATTGAGAAGTATTTAGGAGGGACAGACGACCCCATCAAAAATAGAGCCATGTTCCTTGACTTGATAGCAGATATGGGTATTGGTATCCCATCTGTGATTGTGTCCCGTGGCCACAGAGGTAAGTTCTAGAGTTTGACAGAAGAGAGAGACACTGACTTACCAGCTCCCAGATTCCTCAGGTGTTAAAACTGCTGAAGGTTAGGACTTAAAACTGATTTCTTATGGCATGGGGAAGAGGGCTTTCCTGTTTATTTTCTGTCAGTTTCAGACCACATGGATAGGATCCAAATGCAAGTTGTTAATTTAGAAGATGATTCCAGGAAGCTGCAGTCAGAGATGAGGGCATACCACAGGAAACTCAGGGTTGTCTTGTCTGAGAGGCAGGGGACCTTGGTATTCATCCTCCAGTGCCCACTTGTTCTTGGTTGAAGGCTATTCCAAGGGATTGTTAGTTGGTTGGTGCTTTGATCTGTAGAGCATGGACATGTGGTCTTTAGCAAGCAAACGAGGCCCTCAGACAATGAGAGCTACTGAAGCTCAGGTGGAAGTCAGGTTGACCTGCCAAGATAGAAGATATGAGTGTGGCACCAGCAACATCTGCCACAGAGCTCCTTATCTGATTATGGTGTACATCAGACTAGAAGGCACATATTGGCAGATGAGTCTTAGAAGTTTTCCTAGGTTACAGCTAGTTATAAACTGGGTTGCTAGAAGGTCAAAAGGAAGTGGAGATAGTAGGCTTGGAGGGAGGGGTGTGATTTTTAATATCTGTAGCTGGGTCATGTCCATCTTGGTTTGTAATGGTATGGGCAAATTGAGGGCCAGACTGGGGTCTATGATAGGACATTCCAACATTGACCCAAGGCTGTACATGGAGTTTAACTTTAGAGATACATGAGCTCACCCTAGGGAGGTAACCTCTTCTGATTGCTGTTTTAGGGAGCCTTATAGTACCTTTCTTTTTTTCCAGCCCTCCTGCACCAAGTCTTTAAGCTGGGAAATCATTCTCTCATCCATCTCTCTCTCCTTAAAGTGCTGGAAGGTTTTTCAAATTCAGGGCATTTGAAATATGATATAAACTAGCTGTAGTAGTTCCCCTTCTACTGTTTCACTTCCTGCAATTGCTGTTATCTATGAATTAGTAACTCCTGCTAAGTAGAGAAGGGTGAGTACATTCCAATAAAGTATTGAGAGAGAAATGAAGAGGGAGGGAGGGAGGGAGGGAGAGAGAAAGATAGATAGATAGATAGATAGAGAGAGAGAGAACACATAAAACTTTAAAACTATAAATGATGGATTTTATATGTATAAATTTATGTGGCATAAAGTTATATTATGAATATGATGTAGAATAATTACATCCAACTAGTTAAAATATTTGTCTTCTCAACTAGTTAACATTTTTGTGGAACACTTGTTATTTCCCCTCAGCAATATTTAAATGAACAATACTTACTAAGCAGATTCTTTACACTATGAAAGAGAGCTCAAAAAAAAGAAAGAAAAAGACAAAAAGTTTTCCCTTGTCTGTATATTTTTCTCCTTTCACTATCATCCCCTTTTCTTCTCACCCACAGCCTCTGTAGCTATTTTTTACTCTATTTTCTGAGTTTTATTGTTTTAGGTACCATGCTTAACAAGTAACATATGGTATTTTATTTCTATACCTAAGTTCTTCCACTTAGCATAATATTCTCCATTTCCATGCGTGTGGTCAGAAATGACAAAATTCTTCTTTTTTTAAAAGGATAAATGGCATTTCATCACACTTAAATACCACATTTTATTTATGCGCTCTTCTGTTGGTGGACACAGGGTGATTCCATAACTTGACTTTTGTCAGTAATGCTGCAGTGAACATGGGAGTGCAGATATCTGTTCAAGCTGGTTTCATATTTTGGGGATAAACACTCAGCAGTGTGATTGCTGGATCACATAGTAATTTTTTTTAACTCGGAATCACCTTTGTCATGTTTTATATTCATGGCAAGAGTATAAAAGGGATCCCTTTTCTCCTCATCATTGCTAACACTTGTTATTTTTCATTTTTTGTTGCTACTCTTTTATCTGCCCATTTAGTGAATATATTTTTGAGCACCTGTAACGTGTCACTCACAGCACAGTTCTCAGTTTATTTTTCATTGTTTAAATATTTCATTTGAACTGGGAGAAATGATATCATATTGTGATTTTAGTTTGTTTTCTCCTAATGATCACTGATGTTGATCTTTTGTTATGTATCTTATTCATTTGTATGTCTTCTTTTGAGAACTGTCTGTTCAGGTCCCTTGCCCATTTTTTGGGTCATTTTGTATTGTTGTATTAGAGGTATATTGTGACATTTACAAAAGTTCTTACAATATATCAGAATTGAATTCACCCACTCCATAATTCTCTTTTATCCTCCCTCTTCCATTCCTGGAAGAGTTTCAACAGGTCTCATTTTCCCATTTGCATGCATGAGTTCATAATGTCTCTACCATATTCACCTTCCTATACTCTTTCCTTATATCCTACCCCCTTCTACTGGATCTCTTTTGAGGTTCTTTGCTCTCTGTTTAAAGAAAAACTTTTATTTTGCTTAATATAGCTATACAGAGTATTTTATTGTGACATTTCCATGTATAAATGTATTATAACCTGAATTTGTTCATCCCCTTTAATTTCTCCTTGCTGTTTTAGTCTACTTCTTATGGTGATTTCAGCTGGTTAAAAATTCTATATTTATTTTTGTATAGGATGTATATCAACCATATTCACCTTCGTAACTTCCTTCTTTTACCCTGCCTGTCTCGTATGTGACCTCCCCTTAGTGTGACCTGTTTTTCATAATATTGCTGTATTTGTATTATGTCTATATTCCACATATGAGAGAAAACATGTGGCCTTTGACTCTCTGAGCTTGGCTAACTTCACTTAAAGTTATGTTCTCCACTTCCATTCACCTGCAAACGGCAAAATTTCACTCTTCTTCATGGCTGTATAAAATCCCATTGTACATAAATACCACATTTTCTTAATTCATTCATCAGTGTGGCCTTGTTGATTTTTTATTGGAGTTTTTGTTTTCTTATTATTGAATTGCATAAATTCCTTATGATGTTTGTATATTGATTCCTTATTGCATGTATGCCTTCAAATATTTTTTTCCAACTTGTAGGTTGACTTTGCATATTGTTAATTGTTCTCCTTGCTGTGAAGAAGCATTTTAATTTGGTATTATCTCATTTCTTATTTTTGTTTGTGTCCCTCCACTTTTGAAGCCCCAAGAGTCATGGCCCAGAAAATGTCATGTATATTTTTCTTATGTTTTCTTTGAGTAGTTTTTGAGTTTCTGATCTTACATTTAAGCCTTGACTCCAATTTTCACCTGTTTTTCTTATATCCTATATATTGTTTTCCCTTTCTGAATACTTTTATTTTAGAAAACTCTTTTTCTCATTTTGTATTCTTTGAATGTTTGTCAAAACATGCCTGGTTTCATGTCTGTTCTCTTTATGTTATTCTCTTGGAGACCTTTACATACTTTCCCTTCTCTCCCTCCCTCCCTCCCTTCCTTCCTCCTTCCTTCCCTCCCTTCCTTATTCCTTCCTTTCTTCATTCCTTCTTGTTCAGATTAACTATTTAGTCTTGATTTGGTCTTTATAGGTCCTATTGGACTAGGAATTTATTTTCTTCTACATTATTCAATTTGTATGCATTGTAGTAGTCTCTTCTGATCCTTTCATTTTTTTATGGTATCAGTCACAATATCTTCTCATTCATTTTTTTATTTTGTTTGAGACTTCTCTCTGTTTTGCTTGGTTATTCAAGCTAAAGTTTTGTCAATTTTATGTATCTTTCAAATAACACAACTCTTGGTTTTGTTGACCTTTTGTAGTATTTCATAGTCTCATAACTCATTTCTGATCTGATCTTTAATATTCTCCTCCTTCTGCTAACTTTAGGCTTAGTTGTTCTTCTTTTAATTTCTACAGCACAACATTAGGTTATTCAAGTTATTTCTTTAGGTGTTTATTACTATAAACTCATACAACTGCTTTTGCTGTGTCCCTTAAGTATTGATATGCTGTGCTTTCACTTTCAACCTACTTTTTAACTTGCCTTTTAATTTCTGCATTGACTCATTGGTTGTACAGGATCAGGTTGTTTATTTTCTGTGAATTTTCCACAATTCCTCCTGCTATTGATTTCTACTTTTATTCCATTGTAGTTGGAAAAGATACTGGCTATGATTTCAGTCTTTTTAAAGTACCCAAAGCTTGTTTTGTTTCAGTCTTCTTAAAGTACTTAATATGAAATTGATTCTGGAAATGTTTTATGAGTGCTTGAAAATAATGTGTATTCTGTTGGTGTTTGTGGAATATTCTCTATATTCTGTTAGGGTCATTGGGTGGAAAGTGTTGTTCAATGCAAAATTTGCTACTGAATTTTCTATCTGGGTGAACTGCTTATTTTTGAAGTCCTCTTCTATTGTTACATCGTAATCTGTCTCTTCTTTCAATGTTGGGTGAATATATATTTAAAATACATTGTTAAAATATATTGTATATTGCTGAACTGACCCCTTCACCAACATGTAATGTCTTTACTTATCTCTTTTTACAGGTTTTAACTCAAGGTTCACTATTCCATATAATGATAGCTACCTTTATACTGTTTTGTTTCCCTTTGTGTATAATAATTATTTCCATTCCTTTATTTTCAGTCTGTTCATCTTTAAGGGTGAGGTGAGTCTCTGTAAGCAACATATGTACTCAGATCTTATTTTTAACCCATGTAGTCAGTCTCTTTTTATTGGATAATTTAATCCATTTATATTGAAGATAATTATTCAGAGGCAGGAAATTACTAATGCCATTTTGTCAGGTTTTGATAGTTATTTTGTAAATTGTTTCTATTCTCTTGCTGTCTTCTGTTGTGATTTAATGGTTTTCTGTAGTTATACACTTTGAATTCTTTCTGTCATTATTTTGTACTTCGACTAAAGGTTTTCTCCTGCACTAGCACTCATCAAAGAGGATGTATGCTCATGTGCCCCAAGCCATAATGACTCTCAGAATAAGGCTTATATAGAACCTTTCACACTTAGCTGATATTCAACTGATAACAACTTAAGCTTGAGTGCGTACAACAACTCTACACTTTCACCTTCCTCCACACACTTTCTATCTTTGGTGTCAGAATTTACATAATTTTGTAATGACTATTTTATCTATAGTTGATAATTTGTTTTAGTTATGGTTGTTAGTAGTATTTTTTACTTTTAATCTCTGTATTGGGAATAGAACTCTCTACATATTGTTATACAGTCTTAGGTGTTCTGAATATGGCTTCGTTTGATTTATATCATCAACTTTTGTGCTTTCATATGTTTCTTGATATTCATTAGTTTTTTTTTTTTGTTGTTGTTTCACTTAAGAGAAATCTCTTTAGCCATTCCTGTAAGACCTGTATAGAGGCAAAGAATTCCATAAACTCTTGTTTGTATGGGAAAGATTTTAATTTTTCCCACAAGTTTTTCTTTCCTTTTCTTTTTCTTTTTTTGGATATAGGGCATTGTTATGTAACCCAGATGTGCCTTGAACTCATGATCCACCTGCTTTAACCTCCTGAGTGAGTACTGGCATTGCAAAAGTGCAGACCATGCCTAGCTTTCTCCTTCATTTCTGAAAGATAGCTTTTCTCAATACAGTAATGAGAAACAAGACACGTTGTTCTCTCTTTACTTGTATTTGTACATAAATATCCACATTTTCAGACAAGGCACTTGGATTTCCTTCACTGTTTTCTGAATGCATGAGAAGTATACTGGAAATGCTCAAAATTAGGTTGAATAGAAGACACCTATTACTTTGTAGATCTTCTTGAAGGAATGATCACTAGTGCATCCTCAATGAAACCTGCCCAGTGTATTTATTGCATGCATTTTATTCATTCATTCTTTTGTTCCACAAACATTTGGCTAAAACCTCACATCACATCTACTAGCTGTGCAACTCAAGGAAGTCACTGGGATATCCTTAAATTCTGTTTCTGTCCTATACAGGTAGTCAGGAGCTTCCCACAGGGCTAGATATCATTTAGGTATGTGTCTGCTAACTTGTACCATGCATGAATCCATGTCTTCTCAGATGCTGGAGCCCCTACCTACATGTATGAGTTTGAGTATCACCCAAGTTTCTCATCACCCATGAAACCCAAGACAGTGAAAGGAGACCATGGAGATGAGATCTACTCAGTATTTGGTGCCCCATTATTAAGAGGTAATAGTCATTTGCTGGTGTTATTCTGGGAGACAGGAAGCCTGACTTCCAGCCTTGGTTTGGTGGCCTTCGTCAAGCTTCTCCTCCTCTCTTGCTTTCCTGATTCAGTGTAACAGGGGTGGTCTACATTGGGCAGTACCACCCTTTCTCCTTTTTTAGCACTCAGAAAGGAGTATGTGTGTTTATGTGCTCCCAGTCCCAGTCATTCTTAGAATCCTGACCAATGACATCTGTAAGTGAATTGTTGGACCACCTGCATTGTCATGCTCAAAGACAAGAATGCCACTATTTATTACCCATTCAAAATAACCTATCAAAATGTTAGTGAGAATAAGGCCAGAATTGGCATCAACCTTGAATCAGATGTCATGTTTGTTTACTACCTACAATCTAAACATATATTTAGAATTCATATACTTTATATTACCAATATAATATTTAAAGAAAATCTTTAACAAATATCCCCAATACTTTAGCTCTTGTAAGTTGCAAATGAATCATGACCCTCCCCCCTTCCCTGGCTGTTCATGACAAGCCAGTGCTTCCATCTGGGAATCACACAATTTGTTGACTCTTAAAACTTTTCCAGTTGTGTTTTTTTCCCATACTGAGGTTTGAACTCAGGGACTTGCACTTTCTAGGCAAGTGCTATACGACTTAAGCCACACTGCAGATCTTTTTGTTTTAGTTATTTTTTAAGATAGGGGCTTGTATTTTACCACAGATTGGCCATGGGCCACAATCCTCCTACCTATGGACCTGGCATAGCTGGGGGCACAGATGTGTGCCACCATGTTAGGTAGACTTAAGCAGTTCTAATATTTTTCAGATTTTATAAAAATGTGGATGTGTTTAGGAGATTGAGAAAAGACCCAAGACACAGCAGTCCTGTGAGGCAGAGGAAACCCAGGGTTGTGGCACATCTACCCTGAGTTGTGACAGCTTGGCAGGTGGGCATGAAAAATAAACACAGCCAGCTCGTCGATGGTCTGCATGGCCATTGCCAAATCCTAGCTCAACTATTCTCACCAAAATCTTCTTCAAATACAGATTTGACTCAGTAGGTATGGAGACAGTTCCAAGACTGCATTTCTAACAGTCCAAGTGATGCTGAAGCTTCTGCATCATGAAACACACTTTGTACACCAAAGATTTTCTTCTTCTTCCTGCAGAAGGTGCTTCAGAGGAGGAGACCAACCTCAGCAAGATGGTCATGAAATTCTGGGCCAACTTTGCTCGGAATGGGTGAGATTGGTGGCAAAGATAGACTAGGGTTCATGGGCAAGGAGGGTACTCTGGGGCTGTTCATTTGAAGGGGGGACTTCTAAACCTTGTGATAAACCCTTGTCCCTCTGACCATCATGTTATGACCTGAATGCTTCCCATATCTGAAGGGTACATAAGTCTCTTCAGAATGATAAACTAGGCCATTCCCACAAATCTTAGAGAAATGTAGGAACCATACAGCAGCTTTGTGGAATTCTATTTGGTTCTGTTTCCAGGAACCCCAATGGGGAGGGGTTGCCTCATTGGCCAAAGTATGACCAGAAGGAAGGGTACCTGCAGATTGGCGCCACCACCCAGGCAGCTGAGAGACTGAAACAGAAGGAGGTAGCTTTCTGGAGTGAGCTTCTGACCAAGAAGTTACCACAAACAGAGCACACAGAGCTGTGAATGGGAAGCCTGGACAGTTCGGGAGACCAGAGGAGCCAGGAAATCATGTTCTACAGAAAGTATTTGTAGGTCAAAGGGGCATCTTACTGTAGAGGATGGAGAATTGTGTGGTGGGGATGGGCAGAGGCAAGGGAGGGAAAATGTCTTTACCTCTGGCCTCTGTTAAATAAATGTTCCTTTGGAGACAAAAATCAGTGCCTTGTGCTGGAGTTGAACCCACCCTTTTCAGAGAGAGAAGTATAAAGAGGGAGGCACCATCATAGGAAGATGGCTGTGCAAGGGGTGGCTTGGTGAATGAGCACCTGAAACCTAAAGGAAGATAAGTACATTGTAATAGAGATGGGATGCAAAAACTGACTCTCCTCCCTACCAGGTGGAAGATGTCATTGTGTGTATGAGAATGATTCTGAAATTTTGCTAAAGTGCAAAATCCCAAGGGAAGTATAAAATCCCATCCCATCCTATCGCCAAGGGGCATTTACTCCCATCATGGACTGTTCTCCATGGATGTCTACCAAATTCTCAGAAGAAAGGTGAGGGCAAGTTGTAAGAACATAGAAAGCCTGTCTCTAATGGTGTAGGTAATGAAGCTCTGCTCAGAGTCTTTACACTTTTAACCGTTGGGTACAATGCAACTAACTTTCTCCCATCATAGGTTTGTGAAGATTTATTGAGACTGAAAAAATGGAAAGAATTAAGACCTGTGCACGTGGTGTTGGCTGTGAAACTTCCTTGGGAAGAGATCACTGTCTTCTACTGTGGGGAGGATCAGGTCACTGAGAAAACCCATGTTCAATATTCAGGAACACAAGGTTTCCTGGTTTTTGTTTGAGTCAGGACCAGGGCTACAGAAACCACACCTGGATTCCCCCATCAAATCATCAGGGACCAGGTACCAGGTACCAAACACCTAAAAGTGTTAGGAGAGAGGATAAGTATGCAGCGACAACACTCTGTGAAGGTCAGGTGCACAGGGTAGGTCCAAAGCTGAGAATGGAGAAAGAAAATAACAAAACCCTTCAAAAACCAGACCTCGCACAAACATACTAGACAAGCATTAGTCAAAGATTACAGTAGATCAATTTGAGGAAGTGATGCAATTAAGACATCCAAGCAAGAGGAAATCAGAACCCCTCCTCACATTCTGTAGTAAATTGGCTTCACTCCCTAACATAGATACATAGACATGTGAACACATAGGCACACACAGAAACACACAAGCACACACATGCACACCAACACAGAGATTCACAGTCTTATCAGTTTAGTAGAATAAAAAGCATACCCACCCTCACACATAAATCCTATTTACTTCAGTTTCTTATTTTCTATTATTAATACAAAATTTCAAGCACATAGCAATAAAAAAATCTAAGGCACAAAACAATAAATAGAGCCAAATTCAGAAATAAACTAGGCAATAGAATAGACTAGGTATTTAAAATAAATATATGGAAAACTCACATGGACATGTGGGTATTTTCAGCAGGAACATAGACACTATAAGAAAGAATAGTAAGAAATCACTGCTCTGAAAGTCAAAGGTCCTTGCATTTTCCTGACTCTGTGAACCCATTGCAAATATTTAATCACTGACACAGGAAGATTCAGCCCTGGCTATGGGGAAAGTTTCTGAAACAAAAGTGCTGAGAGATTTATCTAGTAGGAAATCAGTCTGTGATGTGTAAAGAAGCAGAGGTTGTGTTCGCTTTTAAGACCAGCAGCTGGGGAGAAGCAAGTGATCTCATATGGTTAAATGGTCTTATATGGTTAGTGGTATTGGGTGGGGTGCACATGTTTGTCCCTTAGGTGCTGACAGTTGTGACCCCATAGCATCTCTCAGACCCCCCTCCACGAGAAGGCAAAACAAAAGGTCAGAAACTCTGAGGTACTGCAGCCACCAGTGACCAGCCTCAGCTCTGCCCTAGGCCTGTGAAGTGAAAATAACTGCTGGAGTAAGTACCTGCCCTCCGGAACTCTCACTGGCCATCAGGGTCCCTGAGAGGTGATACACTGGGTCCACTCACAAGCTGCTCTTATTGTTCTGTGGGGAGCCACACCAAGAAAGGAAGGAAGGGTGAAAAATCTAAGCCTATGCTTTAAGGGGCACTTAGCTTAATGGTCACTGGAAGCAAGTGGAAAAAATCTATTCCTTTTTTGTATTGAAGCAACACTTAATGGGGTTAAAATTATTTACAAAAACCCAAACACATAACTCACGAGACTGGTACAAACTAGTTTTTCCTACATTGGTTTTGTTCCAAAGATCATTGCTGAGAAATACTGTATAAAAATAAATAGGATTGATACAAATAGGATTTATGCAAAATACTCTACTATTCTTATTTCTAACTGATAGTGTTTACAGAAATATTTATAGTATTTAAAGTTTACTTGAAAAGTTTATTTTATTTGCAAGTCAACCTCAGGTGCCCTAAATGAGAGTTCCTTGAGGATTAATATCACACACACATGCACAGTAGTGGATGGGGTGGTATCTCCCTCATTGGCTCATTTCCAGCAAAATTTGCATCTTGTCAGCATCCACACAATGATTTATTTAAAAATTAAAGCACAATAAAAACTTAAACAGTGAAGTAGATCAATTCTCAAATGATTACTTGTGCAACACAAAAATGTGTTTCGGCCTGATTGAGCTCATTCAAAATGTTTTTATTGTTCTTACAATCTGTCTCGAGTCCATTTTACCAAAGATTTTTCATGTCTCCAAATCCAATAGCTAATAAATATTAATGTTAATATAACTTGACAAAATATATCTTACTAATTTACTTTTAATTTTGTAGATATCATTTCACTCCCATGCTTTCAAAACAGTTTGTTTGAGTGAGAACCTCCATACTTGCCCCCCACCCTAACCTCTGACTTCCTTGGGCCAGAGGTAACTTTTATTTTAAATTGTTTTATTTTTATTAAGACTTTTTGGTTATACTTGATATATATTTTCCTTCTTTTTCTTTTTCTTCTATTACTCTCTTTATGTCTTCTTTTAATTTTTAGTTTCTTCCTTTCTTTCCTCTCTCTTTTTTATTTTATTCTTTGATCAGATAGTTTCTTTATTTTTATACTTTACCCTTTAAAATATTTTGCTTATTATAATAATTATTTTTTTCAGCTTTATTAATTCTCAGTTTATTAGAGTATCATATATTATTTTGCCCATTTATTTTCTTTTCCTATTATTCTTGAATCTTTCTTTGTTGTCTTTAATTGGTTATTACTGCATTTTCATATCTAGTTCTAGTTTGTTTTCATGTTGTGGTTGTTCCTCCTGCTTGTTTTCTTCTTTCTGAGTAGTGTGGTGGATCTTGCCTGGTGCCTTAAACATGTTTTGTGGATTCTTTGATGCTCAATTATGCTCCCAGCCCAGTTGTAAGAAATTGTATCTCAATCCAGCTTTAACTTACTTCAACTCAAATCCTGGCAGATAACTTCAACTTAAAGAATATAAAAGACAAAACACCCAATTTGACAATATGGCTGGGACAGGGCCAAAAACCCTCCACTTATCTTTCACCCCAATATCAATATCAGAGAGAGCAAACTGTTCAAGATACACATCTTATGAGAGACTCAGCATAAATCCTTCCCATATTCTTTCAGATCACAAATTGCTGACCATATAGGAAGAGTAACTGTGGAGGTTTAAACCCCCAATACTTTGTCCTGTACAACACACCTGTCAGAACATCCAGGACATCATTCTTATAGCATTTATAGAGAAAGTGGGTCATTCAGGTTGCAAAATAACATGTACGGCACCAAAACCTACTACCAAAGTCAATGAGGCCAAAGGGATCCTACATTAAAAATTCAATTTTGGATTAAACTGAACACTATACAACAAACCATTCTCTCAAAACACATCAGCAAAAGAAGACTCCTAGCTGGGCAATGGGGGCTCATTCCTGTAGTCCAAATTACTCAGGAGGCAGAAATCAAGAGGATTGTGGTTTGAAGTCAGCCCAGGCAAATAGTTCACGAGACCCCATCTCAAAAATACTAATCACAAAAAAAGGTATCATAGAGTGGCTCGATGTATAGGCTCTGTTTTCAAGCCTCAGTACCACCAACAAAAGACTCCTCTCCAAGTAGGGTCTCAAATCAATGGGAGAGATTATTGCCTGAGCAAATGAATAAATCTCAACATAGAAACCTAAGAAATATGAGAAAACAAGGCAAAATGACTGTTCTAAAAGTTAATAACTCTACAGTAATTGATTTCGAAGTCACTGTGTTAGATGAAATTCTGGACAAAGCATTCAAATTCATGATTTATAAAATGATCAGTGAATTCAAAGAGGATACAAATAAACTTTTAAATGAGTTAAGGAAGACAACGAAGGATATTAAAGAGCATAACAAGATAGATATTCAGAGAAAGAACCAAACAGAAGTAATGGAAATAAAAGCTTAATAATTAAAATAAAAAATTTAATAGCCATTGTTACAATAGACTAAATCCAGTGAAAGAAAAATCTGACAGCTTGAAGACAAGTTTAATGAATTATCATATTCAGATAGCAATAAGGAAAAATGAAAAGAACAAACATCTGTTGGCCACCATTAAAAGACCAAACTTATGCGTAATTGGAAAATATGAGAGACATGAGCTGTAGGCTCAAGGTATAGAAATCTATTTAGTAAAATGGTTGTAGAAAATTTCCCAAATCCTGGAAAAAATATGAACATCCATGTCCAGGATGCCTTTAGAACCCCAACTATACATGACCAGAAAAGAACCTCTCCATGACACATAATAGCTATACTGACTGAAGTATTAAATAAAGAAAGAAAATAAAAGATGGAAGAGAGGGATGCCAAGTCACATATAAAACAAAACTCATAAGAATAATAGATTTCTCAGCAGAAACTCTAAGGGCCAGTTAGTCAAGCAAGAAAATAACTGCCAACATAGATTACTGTATACAGAAAGCATTTGTTCAAAATTGTAGGAGAATAAAGACCTTCTAAAATAAGCATAAGCTAAAGGAATTCATGATCAGTAACCCAACATTATAGGAGATGCTTAAAGGATTCCCACATCTATAAGAGGAAGCAATACAAATACAATCATGAGAGCACAAGAAAAAATAAATCTTTCTAAGAGTAGGTAAGCAAATGAGACTTGAGAAAGATTTAAACATTATTAAATCACAGAAGCATTAAACTTCTGAGATAAATAAA